CCTGCCCCGACCGCCCGTCGCCCCCAACTGCAGTACGCAGTCCCCCCCTCTCTTCCCTTGCGCTCACTCCAGCTCACCTGTCGACGTCGACCAGATCCAAGCGCGGGGCCTGTGTCGCCACGTCAGCGGGGGGTCTCGCCGATCGCGCCCCCGAAGCCTTCGCTCATCCAGCCCTTCGGCGCCTCGGCCGTCTCCCCGTCGTCGCCCTCGTTCACCACCCACTCCCACTATCAGCAACAAGCTGCCCCTCCCTCGTCATCAACCACGTCCTCCACGTCGCATTCTTCGCATTCTTCTTCTTATTCAGCATCTATGGCCTCGACGCCGTCCACGTCGACGTCGACGTCTCCGTCATCGCTGTCGACATCCGACGAGCGGCCGCTCTCGCCCGGGTCCGAGGGCCGACTGCGCAGCGCGACCGCCGCCGACGCGCGGCCTGTCAGCTCCCTCCTCCGGCGCCCGCCGCCGCCACGCCCCGCGCGCCGCGAGTCCAACGCCGATGTCCCGCCGATCAACCTGCTCAACCGACCCGTGTCGCTCACCAGCGCGCCGATGCCGGCCATTCCCACCCTCAACACGGCCGCGGGCGCGGGTTCGTCGACTACCTACCCGTCGTGGCAGTCGACGTCGCCGCGCGGCGAGCGCGGCCAGGTGTCGCCGCGGGCCACGATGCCGCCAGGCGCCATCTCCGCCGGTGGCGGCGGCTCGGCGTTGGGTCCGTCGTCGGCCTCCGCGGCGGAGTTGGCCCCATTGCAGGCGACGCCGGCGGTGCGCGCGGCGACCGTGAGCGCCAGCGGACCCACATCGCCGCGGGCCACCATTGCGCTGCTCGATCGCAAGCGGGCGCCGCGCCACACCGTGGCCACGGCGGACGACCTCGTCATCTCCAGCCCGGCCCCGGCCTCCGGCAGCCAAATCTCCGGCCCCGGCCTCGCCGGTACCGATTTATTTACTATTTTTCCTAAATTTTATTAATTTATTGTTTTATTATTATTATTTCAGGGAGCAGGATTGGAGATACTCCGTTCAGTCCGGGCCAGCAGAAGAAGGAGGACCCACTCATGATGCGGAGACGAGCGGCCGAGGAGATCCTCACCACCGAAGTGGCCTACGTCGAGCAGCTCTCCATGCTCATCAACGTATGCCGTCTCTGCTGCCGATGATTACTATTTGTCGTGTGTGTGTGTGTGTGTGCGTGCGCGCGCGTGCGTGCGTGCGTGCCGTTATGTTTGGTTTTGGTCAACCTTGATCGGTTTCTAACACGAACAACAAACAACACAGGCCTACAAGAAACCGATTGACGCGGCGAAGGTGATCGACCGGATGTCGCTCAAGGGCATCTTTGTGAACGTCGAGGTGCTCGAATCGCTCCACCGCACCTTCCTGTCCGACCTGCAGCAGCAGATGGAGCAGTGGTCGCCCGAGAACGAATCGCCCGGCCTCTCTTCCGTCATCCTCAGCTTGGTACTCTTCTTGCTTTCTCTTCGTTCTTTTCTTCGCTTTCGTTCTTCTCACCACTGGACACGACACGCACACAATGATCGACAGGTGCCCTATCTGAAGCTGTACATAGAGTACATCACCGATTTCGACCGTTCGCTCAAGCTCGTGGAGTCGCTGCACAACGAGAACGAGCCCTACCACCAGCTCATCCAGACGCTCGGCGCGGGCGGCTTCGTGGGCCGGCTCGGCCTCGATTCGCTGCGCGTGGTGCCCATCCAGCGCATCCCGCGCTACGTGCTCCTGCTCAAGGCCCTGATCAAGTACACGCCCGAGGACCACCCCGACTACAAGAACCTCGAGGAGGCCCTCCACAAGATGTCCGAGCTCGCCACCTTCATCAACACCAAGAAGAGCGAGGTACATGTGTGTCGTGTGTCGTGTCATCGTGTGCGCGTGTTGTGAGTGCGGTTGTGTGTCGTGCTTTTGCTGACGTACAACGCAACGCAGGCCGAGTCGCGCAACCGGCTGATCGAACTCTCGGCGAACCTGGTGGGCAAACGGTTGGAGGTAACCTTTGATTATTTATATTTATTTGGCCAAGCCAACAATTCAATTAGTTTCTGATTATGTAACATAATGAATTTCTCTTTTTCTTTTTCTCTTTCTTTTTCGTGCAGGGCTTGGAGGATGTCGAAGAGGAGGCGGTCGGGGGCAAGGAGCCCAAGGAGCACAAGTGGCGGAAGAAGTACAACAAGTACAAGCAATGCGACGTCTGCCGCGAGATGGGCTACTGCACCAAATGTAAAGTAAAGGGTACGCACGTTCTCCTCATCCTCCTCCACCACACTACACCACACTACACGTGCGCTAACTCGCGTGTTGCGTGTGTGTGTGTGTGTGTGTGGTGTGTGTGTGTGTGTGTGGTGTGTGTTTGCAGAGTGTAAATTCTATCTGGGTATCGGAGGAGTCCACGCCGACTGCCAACAGAACGTTCCCCACAACTGCGGCCAGCGGCGAACAGAGGTACTTTTACTTTTTGCGCGAGCCAATTTAATCATCCTTTCTTTTGCTAATCTCTGTTGTATTATTTCGCCCGCGCAGAAAACGTTCATTAAGCACAGCCGACATTTGATCAAAGAAGAAAAGGAGCTGCAACACAAGATGACGTCACTCAAACACCCCGACTCCAAGGTAACACACGACACACACACACACACACACACACACACACACACACACACACACGACACACACACATTAGTAACTTATGTTCAATGTCGTGCGATCTATATGTAGGCACCGCTGCACAAGGACCCCATCGTGCTGCTGCTCAACGATGGTCTCGCCGTGCTGTACCCCACCGAAATCGCCAAATACGAGTTCCTGGCCCTCATCAAGTGGGTCGGTCCCTCCGGCAAGCCCATCCTCAACGAAAACGGTATCGTCCCCGTCATGCGCGTGCGGTGTGTGCGGTGGTGCGTGTGCGTTCCGTGCGTGTGCGTGCGCTCAACTGCGCGTGGTTATGTGTAGTGACGGAGACGGCGTTCTCGCTCACGGACCCGCGCTACAACGAGCTCCACACGTTCGTGGCGGCCACCAAGGAGTACAAGGAGCAGTTCCTCAACGAAATGAAGCAACAGATGTCCAACTGGCACGTCGCCCAGTCCAGGGTGCGTCTTCCTCCCCTTTCTCTCTTTGCTGCGCGCTTGCGCCAACCTCTAAACTTACGCGCGTGTCGCGTGTCGTGTGTCGCGTGTCGCGTGTCGTGTGTCGTGCGTCGTGTGCAGGAAAGGGAAAAGGGAGGCGGAGCGACGTCGATGGATCAGTTCCGTGGGGTGACCTTTCAAATTTTGTTCACCGTGCCCGTCGCCTCCACCAAGGAGAAGGAATTCACCGTACCGTCCCCCATTTCATATTTTTACTCCATCAATATTATTATTATTAGCAAAAATAACAACATCATTTCGGAAATGAGAAAATAATAATTGCTAATTTGTTTCTCACTTTTTTGTGTAATTTTTTTATAGGCGTACGTGGTGGACATGAAGACGCAGAAGGGCACGATCACCATCATGAAGCGCTACCGCCAGTTCCTCGATCTCCACCACCGGGTACGAACACCAACGTAGCCCAGTGCGCGTGTGCGGCGTCGCCGACTGCTGACACTTTACCTTTGTGTGTGTGTGTGTGTGTGTGTGCGTGTGCGTGCGTGCGTGCGTGCGTGGGTCACACGCAGTTGCAAAACCACTACAAGGCGTCGGTGATACCCAAGTTCCCCAAGAAGCGCTACCTCGGCAACAACACCTCACACAAGTTCATCCAGAAGCGCGTACGACACACATCATCATCATCATGATCGTCGCCGTCGCCATCGTAATCTTCGCTCATCGTCACTTCCCCCCCCCATCCACCTACAAATGCAGTGTCAGAAGATCGGCCAGTACCTCAACGAGATGATGCAGCTGCCGGGCATTCTCGACATCGAAGAGGTTCGTGTCGACGTGCGTCTTCAAATTTGTGTCGTGTGTGCGGTGTGTGTGTGTCGTGCGCGTGCGATCTGACACGCGCATGTTTGTGTTGCAGGTGAAGTACGTTCCTGACGACGTCGC